TTTTTTACAGTGTAGGAAGCAGTACTTTAAGGTTTTCATGCTTCTATCTTTCAGCAACAATCTACAGCGGCACTGATTTTAAAGTTTCAGTGTAAAGTTTCACAGCTAAAAAATCAACCCAGAGTTGAAATATTGATGAAATTTCAAGATTACAGTCTTAAATTAAGAATCTGTGTTTTCATGGTGATGATGAACTTCCGTTCACACACAGCAGTGGTTCTTACAGAGGCAGGCTGCAGCGATGAGGCGGATCGCGTCGTACGGCGGCTGGCAGGTCGGGTAGAAAACCTCCACCAGGTAGTTGGCGAAGGTGAGCGAAATCACAGCCTGGCTGGCCGGCTCGATCAGCAGGATGGACGTCCACAGACGGATGAAAGCCAGGAAGCCGCCGAACGACTCCAGGATGTAGGCGTAGCTGGCGCCGGACTTGGCGATGGTGGTGCCCAGCTCCGCGTAGCACAGAGCTCCAAACACAGAGAAGATGCCTCCCAGGGCCCAGATCAGCAGCGACAGGCCGTAGGAGCCGCTGTGCATGAGGACGCCCTTTGGTGAAACAAAAATCCCCGAGCCGATCATGTTGCCCACGATGAGGCAGATCCCGTTGACCAGAGAAATCTCCCTCTTCATCTGCATTTTCTCCGCTTTGCCACCGTTCGGGGCCTTTAGGTCCTCTTCAGATGGAGCTTGTGAACTCGGACAAATCGTCTGCGACATGACCCCGATCTTCTGCCTCAGGTCCCCCATCAATCCAGCAGCACTGATATGGAGATGTTAAGGCAGCAGTTAAACCGGATTGTTGCAATTTAACATGACAACACGCTCACATTTATATGATTTTCCTTGAAGGATTGTTCTCGTAGTTTAATCGTAGCAGCTGGACTCGCTTGAGTTTCTTGAAGACGTTCCACCTCTCATCCAAGAGGCTTCATCAGCTCTGACTGACTGACTAGTTGGGAGTTCCAGATGCTGATATCCTGAAGGAGACATTAACACCTGAGTTTCAGTTTCAACTGGGGGTCGTCAGTCAGAACTGAAGAAGCCTCTTGGATGAGAGTTGAAACGTCTTCAAGGAACTCAAGCAAGTCCAGTTGTTACGATTAAACTACGAGAAGAACCACAAAGAATCCTCACAGACGTCTTCCAAGAAGAAAATTCCTCCCTTTATGTCTAACTACGCAAACAGCGCTGTTAAAGTCCAAAGTCGAAGAAGAGGTCAGACATGTGCTCAAACCTCCCAACAAGGATCTCTCGGACATTCTCGGTCCACTCTCTGTGCTCTCTAAAGCGTACAAGTCATTTCTGAAACACAGAACAAGTGTGGTACAACAAAGAGGTGATCTTACCTTGTTTTCAAGAAGATCAATATGTGTGTTTGTCCCTCTGAACATGTAGAGTCGCTCTCAGATCAGCGATTCTCTTCCGAACCACCAGTCAAGACACCGGTGAGATCACATCTGAGAGGCAGCAACAAGTCGGTTGATGTCGCAATCCCTGCAGGCCAGCACAAACCACAACGGGTGTTTTTCCAGCGCCAGGCGAACCGCACTCTCGTGTTCCCCCCCTGTGCTATTTTCAGAGACGAGCAGACCTCGTTCCTGCCCCCTGGGAGCCTTCAACAGGCAGGACAGGGCCGGCCGGGCTGGATCGGAGCCCTTGTACAGGACACGGCTGATAGACTGTTTGATGTAGGACGCACCGAGATGTGCGCTGTCATCAGGCATAGCTTCATTGACAGGGACCTGCCCTACAGCTGCCGCCATCAATCAGTAACTCAGACAGGTCGTTATGAGCGTTATGACAATGGACCGTCGGGCTCAGACATGCAGAAGCCTCGCTGTCCTGGCAAGGCCAACATGCCGTTTATCACCCCTCGGTGGCTGTTTTGCATCTTTAAGAGGTCATTTTGCGGCTGGGTGTGCTTGTTGTGTGTCTCTTTATGGTCGTCTGAGGTTCTGCTTTATTGCTTATCGATCATTTTCTGTCTCTTTAAGGCCGTTTGGTACACAAAGGTGAGTTTTTAGATGTTCAATCAATCACTGAAGATTGGTTTTAGTCATTGATGGTGTCGAGTCAAGTCAGCTGTATTTAATTAGAGCTCAAATTTAGAATTCATATATGTGTGTCAAAGGGTTTTGCTATTTGTACACCGGACCAGAACTCCCCTCTGTCACTGGAGCCTTGTTTTTTGTCTCTTTGTGGTTGTTTTGCATCTTTTTTTTAATGTCATTTTGCATCTTTCTGGGGTTTTTGTGTATTTTTATGGTCCTCTGAGGTCATTCTTTCTTGCTTAGTGATCATTTTTAGTCTTTTTAGGTGATATTTTGCTTGTAAAGCCCAAAAATCTGGAACCAGGACCATTAGGCCCTTCTATCTATCTATCTATC